CAGCTTCACATCGCGCGTGCGCGTGTCAACAATGGGCCTGCGGTTGCGCACCTGGAGGAACGAGTCAATGTTGCCGCGCAGCACAAGCATGCTGTCCTCTGCAGCAGGCACAGCGTGCACGGTGGCGGTGAACAGGCTGAAGGACCGCTGCTCAGAAAACTTTGGCTCGTCGGTGAGGTCGCGAGCAATGCCGGCAACAACGAGCATTTGCTCGCCCGACTCTTCGTCCGTGGTGACGGTGCTGCTGATACTCCAGGCGGCTGTGTTGGCCTCGCTCATCTCAATGCGGCAGTTGCCGCAGCGGAGCGAGACGCCAAACGAGTGCACGGCCCAGTCGTGGCGGGCAATCACCGCCACGTCCACGGTGTCGTTCTCGAACACGCTGTTGGTGGGGGTCACGACGGCGGCAATGCTGCTGCTCACACCCAGCACCTCCTGCTGCGTTGGGCCGAGCGTCAGCTGTCCGCACGCCATGTCGGGGCTGGTCTCGTAGCCCTCGCCGTCTGCGCGTGGCGTCGTGTACTTGAACGTGACATCCACGAGGCGTGGGCCTGCGGACGAGAACCACGCGTCTGCAAACGTGGTCCACGCGTTGCACACTGCAGGCCCGTCTGTGGGCATGGTGCAGGTGGCCGTCACCTCGGCGTCCTCGTCGTCTGCGGCGACAAACCGCACGGTGACGTTTGTGCGCGCAACACGCGAATGCCCGCTGGCGTCCAGCGCGGCAAGCACCACTTGTGCAGTCGGATATGTCGCATACACGTTGTCGAGGACGGGCGCGCAGTCAACCTGCGCTGCCGGGGCGAGGGGGCGGGTCACCATCTGCGCACCATCCTCGGGCTCGCCGCTGACAGCGACCCATGTGCTCTCCCCTGGGGCGATGTTGGTGAACACAAACGAGCGGTTCACGCGCATGGACGCATCCATGGCCTGGTCTTGCTGTTGCGACGCGGCGGTTGGGAGAATGTGGTTGGTGTTCACGCCAATCACGTTCACAGGGGGCGCTGTCTCAAACTCGGTTGGAAGCGCGTTGCACTGCGCGTCGCTCGTGCCCTCGCACACGTTCGTCAAATACTGGTCGAGCGAGCACTCCGTGCACTGCAGACACAGGCCGCCGCAGAAGCCGAGCTCCTGGTACAGCCCCGGGTGGGTCGTGGACCGACAGGGCTCGCAGGGAATGAACATGACGGGCTCGCCGTTTGGGGTGGGGCCAGCGGTGCGCTGCAATGAGGTGGTGTTGGCGGCATCAATGGCGGCAGCCATGGCGTTCAGGGCATCTGTGGTGATGGTCAAGGCTGCATCGACGTCCACACGGAACAGCGCCGTGGTGGAGTATGTTGTCGTGGTTGCGTTTGTCGTTGTGTTGGTGGTTGTGGTGGACACTGTGCTGCGCTCCATAAATGTGGCGGTTGCGTCCGCATCCTCCGTCGCGTTCAACAAGAAGGCATCAAGCACGTCCAGAAGGTCGAGTTTCTAAAACAGGTGGCGTTGGGGAGAGGGAACAGGGGTGCAGGGACGAAGGTGTGACGGGGATGGCGAGATCGGTATGATGTTGGGAGGGGGAGGGGTTGGCTGATGGATGTGTGGTTCCAGCAGAGAAAAGGAAAGGGGCGGTGGTGCGAAACGAAACATGCACGAGATGGCATGTGTACGTGCAGACACACATACACACGCATGCACAACCGTAAACGCCTACACACAACGCACACGCATGCACCACCACAAACCCCTCCACACAACGTCACAGGCACACATGCGTACGCGCGCGCACCCACACACACACGCACACACACACGCGCACACACGCACACACGTGCGCACAGGCGTCATTCTGACCTGGATGTCGAATTGTGTTGATGATGCTGCAAACTGGAGATCAAGGTAGACAAATTGCCGGCCCTCCGAGGGCACGTCGAAGCGTGACACCTGCGGCAGGTACGTCACCTCCGTGTTGTTGTACGCTGCATCGTCCAACTTGCGCAGCTCGCGTGCGAGCGGGCCGTTGCTGCCGTCCTGGATGGCGGCCTCAATGGCGGCGCGCGTGGCGTCAATCTCCGTCTCCAGCGTGTCCACCTGCACCACGACGGTGACCGCGGCCTTGCGGAAGTCCAGACAAACGCGGTCCGAGGTTGGCGTGGGCGCATATCGCTCGCGCGAGTACCGGGGATCGCACGTGGTGATGGGGTCGCACGCGCGGTCAGCGGACGCCGCGCAGGGGCTGGACTCAAACTCCTCGCCAGCGGTGCACGTCCGGCACGCTGTGCACGATTCCAAGGTGTGGTCGTCGGTGTCCTGGAAGGTACCATCCTCGCACGTCGTGCAGACGGTGTTGGCCGTCAGCGTGCAGTTTGTGGTGAGCTTCTGGCCGAGGCCACACTTGGAGCACATCATGCACGTTGGGTCGAGGTGACCCGTCGCGTTCTGCCACGTGCCGCTGTCACACGCAACACAGGACGTGTTGCTGGTGGCGGTGCACGGCGACAACAGGCGCTGGCCAGGGTCGCACCTGCCGCACTGCTTGCACTGCTCCTCCAGGTGGCTGCTGCTGTCCTGGTAGGTGCCGTTCTGGCACGCCGAGCACATGGCATCACTCGTGCGGTTGCAGGCCATTGCGAGAAACGTGCCCTGCCCACACATTGAGCAGGCCTGGCACTCCATCTCATAGTGGCTTGTCATGTTCTGGAAGGTGGCGCCGGTGCACGCGCTGCAGTTGGTGTTTGTCGTGGCAGTGCAGGCGTCGGCAACAAACTGGCCCTGACCGCACATGCTGCAGTCCTTGCACGTGGAGCTGTTGTGCATCAGCAGGTCCTGGTAGGTGAAGCCTGTGCAGTTGTTGCACAAAATGTTCGATGTCGGGGTGCACTGCAGAAAGGCAAACTCGCCAGCGGTACACGTGTCGCAAGTGGTGCAGCTGGTCAGATTGTGGCTGTCTGCGGACTGGAACGTGTTGTCCGGGCACGCAGAGCATTGCGTGTCCATGGTGCGCGTGCAGGCGCTCGCCAGGAACGTGCCGCTCCCGCACGTGTCCGTGCACGGCTTGCACGACATTTCCAGGTGTGCAGTCATGCTCTGGAACGTGCCATCTGTACAGTTGCCGCACTGCGTGTCTGTCATGCCACGGCAGTTTGTGGCCACAAACTGACCGGCATCACATGTGCTGCAGTCAGCGCACGTGGCATTGGTGATGTTTTGCGTTGGGTTGCATGCTTCCACCACATACTGGTTCTCAGCACACGTGCACGGGTCCATCGTCGTCGTCGTCGTCGTCGTGGTGGTGGTGGTTGCGTTGACAGCTGTCGTTGCGGGCATTGCTGTTGAGTTGGATGGCATGGTCGTGTTTGAGGCCGTGGTTGTCATGTTGGATGGCATGGTTGCAGGCACCGTTGTTGAGTTTGATGCCATGGTTGCGGGCATGGCTGTTGTGTTGGATGTCATGGTTGTGGTTGATGGTGGTGGTGGTGGTGACGGCATCGTCGCGTTTCTTCGACGCCGCTCCTGGGAACACGTGCTGCGCGTGATTGGGTCTGTGCGCGCATCAAAGCCAGTGGGCGTGCCAGAGTCACAGACGGTGTCTGCCTCACGCACCGTGACTTGCACGACGCTCGCGCCCGTCAGGTTGGCTGCAGCCACAAGGGCTTGCTCAAACTGCAGCGAGGTGCGTTGCACGCGATCAACAGCAGGCTCGGCAGTGAGCCAACACGGAGGTAGGGCTTGTGTGCGAACCACACCAGGCAAAATGCTACGTCTCTCTCTCCACACACACACACACACACACACACACACACACACACACACACACACACACACGCACTCACTCACACTGACCTCGGTCTGGTTGAAATCGTTGGCCATGAGGTTGTAAATCTCGATGGTGTGGTTGCGGTTCACGCGACATGCCTCTCCATCGCAAGCACGAGCTGCCGAAACATCACACGTGGTGTGAGATTCCAGCGAACAGGATATGGGCAGGCAGCGCGCCCAACGCAAGTCTCGTGTGCGTGTGTGTGTGCGCGCGCGTTAAATGCGAATGCGTGCGTGGCGGAGGCAAAACAGGCTGTGCGGCTGTGACGGCAAAGGATCGAGACACACCCAAAAGCAAGACCACACTGCTCACTCTGTGCGATGGCGAATGGCGTGAAGGATGCAAGAAGGGCGATGACAGCGAGGGCGGACACGAGGGCCCAGGGGCGCGGTGTTGCGCTTGGGGCCGGCGCCTCTGTGCGGCTGCCAGCCTTTGTGCTCATGCCGCTGGCTCTGGCGCTTGCTCGGCCTTTTCGGCTCCCAGCACGCTGCGCCATGTCTATTGCGTGGCGTTGGCGTGACACGGACAGAGAGGATGCATGTGCGTGTGTGTTTGTTTGTGTGTGGTGGTGTGAGGGACAGCGAGAGACAGTGCAACAAGAGGACATGACATGAATGGGGGAAGGGCGCTGCAGCGTCATGCATCGGCCTCCACTCAGTTTGACACTCAGGCACACGCGCGGACAGCTGCACAAAGCACGTTGCACATCACAGTTGCAGGTTCACGCCCTGATGCGAGACACAGACACATGCAGACAATCCGATCCGCGACAGTAAAACCATCAGCACCTGTGTTTGGCTTCCTACGGCTGGTCTGGCTGTCTTGCTCACGGGGGATGAGAGGATGTGCAAGGAAGAAGGGGGGGGGGGTGTGCTGTTGCTGGCTGAACGCACGCACACAGACACACACGGAGAGGGGAGAGAGACACACACCACACAGCAGAGACACACAGTCAAAGCTGGCTGATGATGGAATGGGAGGAGAGGGTGTGGTGTGGAGTTGCGATGCTGATGGTGCACGTCAACCACCCACACACCATTCAGGACAAGAAAAATAAAATAAAAAAAATTGTTTGTGTTGTATTGTTGCGCTGTGTTGTGCTGTGCTTTGCTTTGTTTGGCTTGGGGTGTGTGTGGGCAGTTCACGGTAGAACGAGTCGCTCTAATGTGCATCCAGCTGGCGCTGATTTCCTAGAAATCATTGCAAACTTTCCGCAATGGTGTTTGGTGACTCGCCCGCGTAAGTTTGTGCGGCGATGATGGAGGGCGGAAGCGCAGCCGGAGGAGGACAACGATGATGACAAGGACGATGCGGGAGGCTGCAGTGGTTGTGTTTGTGTTTGTTGTGTTTGGTGTGTGCGTTCATGTGGACATGGTGTACATGTGTTCATGTTGTGTGTGTTGTGTGTGTGTGTGTGTGCTCATGTGTACATGTGTACGTTTTTTTTTCTCAGGATCAAGCAGGCGGTGGAGACGGGCAATGCCATCCCCGCCGCACAGCTGAAGACCATTCTCAACCGCATCTTCTCCAGGCTCCTGACCAAGGTCACTCGCATGTGCTCTTTGTGTGTGTGTGTGTGTGTGTGTGTGTGTGTCACTGTCACACACATACATACACACTCCCTCCCTTTCTCTCTCCCTTCCTCCCTCACACACACACCCTCTCTCGCTTCCTCCCTCACCCTCTCTCGCTCATGCTGCCATTTGTGCAACAGGAGGATGCGTTCTCTGCCACTGAGAAGCAGCAGCTCGCTGCAACCTTTGAGTTGGAGCTCAATGATGTGCAGCTTCTCGTCGATTCGCTCACGCTCATGATCCAAACTGTGTGTACCTCCAGCATCGCCTTTTTTATGTATTTGTTCCTGCTCGTTCGTACAACACAGCACGGGCGATCTTGAAGCCAAGCCAGTGCTTCCCCCTCACACACACACACACACACACACACACACACACACACACACACACACACACACACACACACACACACACACACACACACACACACACACACACGTTCGGTATCATGCATCACGTGCTCTTGGGTAATCACAGGCCGCCTATCACCAGCTGTCTGAAAAGGCGATGGCCAAGCACCTGACCAATGCTGGACTTGCAGAAGATCATGTTGGTGACAGCGCAGCGATTGTTCGCTCATGCTTTGCCATCTAATATCGTGCCCCGATTGTGTGAGCTCTTGATCTCGTCGCAGCCTCCCCCCCCCCTCACACACACACACACACACACACACACACACACACACACACAACGCGCGCAGGTGATGGTGTTCACAAAGCAGTGGGCAAACAAATCAGCAGGCATCATCGACGCGCTGCGCAACAGTGGATTCTACAGCTCTCAGGTACGGCCCCACATTGTGTGTATGTGTGTGCACGTACATGTGTGCGTGCGTGTGTTCTGGTTGTGTGAAAGATTTGAGTCACTGTTTCCAGCGTGATGTCTGTTTTGCACACTCTGCAGCAACCCAGTCACCCACGTGCGACGCTCACGTTTTTTTTTTTTGACACCAACACCCACCATGCATCTTCCTTCCATGCCTCACTTAGCTGGAGACGGTTGCGTGGAGTTTGGACGTTGGTGTCGCAGACAGCGTTGCTGGCACCACCGCGCAGCCAAACGCCAAGCTCCAACTGGGCCTTTCCACCTCACAGGTGAATCTTCCGTGTGCGTGCATGCATGTGTGTGTGCGTGTGTGAGCGCGTGTGTGTGTGTGTGTGCTTTGGGAAACGTACGCGCGCCCATACCAACGCTCACACATGCGCGCTTGCTGGGCAAACAATGCATTCTCACAAACATGTGCCGTGTGGTGCTGCCGTTGTATGGTAATGCAGGGAGGTACAGAGTCTATCACCGTTGCCATGACACAGCCCGAGCTGGAGCAGTTTTACGATAAGGTCTGTGGTGTGTGTGTGTGTGTGTGTGCAGTAGGCTGTGCGTTGTTCAAGCGAGTTGGCTATCTCAAAGCTCTCGCTGCGTGTGTCCCTATCCCTCATCTCTTCACACCCCTCACGCTCGTCGTCGCGTATTTGCCGCCGCGTTCCTTCCTTTTTTCCCCTCGTTGTTTTCCCTCGTTCCTTCTGTGCAGTTGGAGCAAATCCAGGGCCAGCTTGATGCCCTGTCGTGAGCCACACCGCTGCCAACCACCAACGCTGCCAATCACCAACGCTGATGATGATGATGATGATGGGAGATGGTGATGCAAGACGAAATATACTTTTCAGGCCCGGTCTGGGCGGTCACCCCTCTTTTTGCTGGCTTGCGTGCGTACTTCTCTTCTAGGATCCCTCTTGTTATGTGTCGTGTACGATCATCCAACACTGTGCTTCCCTCCCTTGTTATTGACGCTTTCCACCGCGGGTGTTTGAGCTGTTCTCACACCGTCGGCGTGGCCGTATGGCGACTGCATCATTAAACAGTCCCACACCAACCATTTCATCCATGCGTGTGTGCGTGTTGTGTGTGTGTGTGTCTGTGTGTGTGTGTGTGTGTGTGTGTGTCTGTGTGTCTGTGTGTGTGCGTGTGTGCGTGCGTGTGCGTGCGTGTGTGCGTGTGCGTGCGTGCGTGCGTGTGCGTGCGTGTGTTCTTGGAGTCTGTTTGTCGTGGGAAAAGCAACACAAACTTGTCAGTTGACTTGTCACATCATGTCATCTGTTCACTTCAGTCATACAAACATTGGCACGCCAAAGCACTGCACCGTCCGCACTCGCCACACGGTTACATCAATTTCACAGCTCTGGGCACTGTGCTCGCAGCTGTTTCAGCTGCAGTAGCAAGTGCTGGCGTGCCGTCCACATCACCATGTCACCACCACCACCACCACTGATATCATCACCATCACCATCACTGACATTTGCGTGTTCCTCGTCACTCCTTGCCGCGTTGCTCTCGTTCACGCCGCTGTCAAATCCGTCGCGCTGGTCGCTGACAAACGGTTCACTACCCATCTCACCACCCATCTCGCCACCATCCACGACAACGCGACATGATAGCGGCAACAGCCACGAATGCGGTGGTGTCGCACTGGCACGGCTCGCGCCACCCACCATCACCCTTACCTCATCGCTATCACATCCTTCCTCCCTTTCCTCCTCATCATCCTCCTCCACCTCCAGCTGCTGCTGCCGTGTTGGAGGGGACTCGACACGCGACGCCAGCGGAGTGTAGAACGGCGTCTCATCGCCTGCATCCTGCCCACCATCCCCGTCTCTCCCCACCCTCTCGCGACCACCACCACCATCACCGCCATCACTGCCATCATCACTGCTACCATCATCCTCATCATCGTCCCTGTTGTCAGTTCCACCAGCCCGTTGGCGCCGCCCGGCTGGCGTGCTTGCCATCCAACTGCCCTGCACGTGCCCCGGTGGTGGCGATGGCGGCGGGTCAGCATCACCGAAGCGGAGTGGCCGCAGTGGCGATGGCTGCTGCTGGTGCCGCTGGTCGTGGAAGGGTCGGCTCTGATGCCCCTTGCGCGGGGTGGAGGAGATGAGTGCTGTTGGCGTGTGGAACAGTAAGTCCGTGGACAGCTCATGCAGCTGCTGCGTCACAGCCTGCACTTCCTCTTCCCCGGCACGCGTCACGTTCTTATCACCATCGTCAAACATCGCAGTCACTGGTGCTGTGCTCGTTGTTGCTGGTGCTGTGGGTGCCGTTTTCGCCATGTTCACTGTTGCCGTTGCTGTGCGTGTTGTGGCTTGTGTTGGTGACGAAGGGGCCCGCTTGCTCTTGATTGCGTCATGATGTAAGGTGCCTCCATTCTCATCCCGCACAGGCAGCGACGAGGAAGAGGTGGTGGATGCAAAAATGTTGCTCTCTTTCATGAGGGTCCACAGGCCTGTCTTCTCCACCTGTGTCAAGCACTTTCGCAGCGCAAGCGCGGCCTCAGCGTCGTCCGTTGTTGCGCAATCACACACGCGTGCCGTGTCAATGGCGTAGGTGTGCAGCACACACTTGATCCAGAACAGCGCCTGTGGTGGTGCGGGTGGTATTTGTGGAGGGGGAGGGACATGTGGGAGAGAGAGGAGGGGGGTAGTTGGGATGTGTCAAAGTGGTCAGTGTCTGAGAAATGCAAAAATGGGCGGCAACTTGTATGAAACCACTCAATTCACGTCTTAAGCAAACGAAGAACAAAAGAACAAACACACACACAAACAAACAAACAAACAAACAAACAAACAAACAAACAAACAAACAAACAAACAAACAAACAAACAAACAAACAAACAAACAAACAAACAAACAAACTCGCCTCACCTGCCACATGTCTCTGCGCTGGTTGGAGAATTCACAGAGCTTGAAGAGGGCCGCAAGCAACAGCAACACATCCTCTGCCCTGCTGCTTGCATGCACACACATCACGCCACCACCATCACCGCTGCGACTGCTGCCAGGTGTGTCTTCTTCACAAGACGGTTCTGCGCCCATGCAACTGTGGCTAAGCTGGCTCAGTGCGTCTGCAAACGGGAGAGCAGGAAACCTCTCCACCGCCTGCAGCTGTCGTGTGAGCGCTATTTTCAGGCGCTGTGCCGGATATAGGACCGGCCATCGTGCCACGCGTGACAGGAACAGCGCATGCTGGCGTTGCTGTTGTGCGTGTGTGTGCGTGTGTGTGTGTGTGTGTGTGTGTGTGTGTGTGTGTGTGTGTGTGTGTGTGTGTGTGTGTGTGTGTGTGTGTGTGTGTGTGTGTGTGCGCGTGTAGTATGTGTGTG